TAGATGTTTATGTGTAGTGCAGTGAGTAATCTGCTTTAACTATCATCGCCGGAGCCCATTGGCCAATGGCTGCGCGCTAATACCCGGTATAGCACGAACGTTGACAAAGTCCACCAATTAAAATTGTATTTCAATCAGAAATATAGTTTATGTAGGGACATATAATATTATATACAACTAAATATATGAATTAGCTAACAATTTTACTCGTATAAATCCACTTTGATCAATCAACTTATATATTTATATATTATAATATGAATTATACTGAATTGAACGCACTTAACGTCGTGATTGACTCATCTCATAATATATTTTAGTAAGTTATGAAAATAAATGTAAACATTTGGAAAAAAAAATATAAGTTTAGATGTTCGAAACTTTCATCAGAGACATTTTTGAAATTATATGAATGTAGTTAGAGTGTAGTAGGTACCTTAATATTAAATTTTCAAGTTTTGAATTCCAAAATAATGTATTTTGAAACTTAGATTTTTATCATATAACTTAGAGTAGCGGCAGGTGAAAAATATTTTTGGTCATGTGCTAAAATTTTGAAATTAAATTTTAAAAAAAAGCAGGTAAGTGGGTACTGCTCTGCTGTACATTAGTGGGACGGGTGGACTTCTTACTAGGGTAGGTTAAATTTGAATGTAATGATAGGTATCATTGTATACGAAAAACGATTCTGAACGGAAATAATTTGTCAGTCTAGAATATAATTATATTTAAATATTGTCATATATTCTATTTTGAAACAATTATTTTATTTTTCAATTAGGACGCATTTTGCATAAGGCATGGTTAATCAATTWTTCCAAAAACATTGCATGTAGTTATCACAATTCATAATACCTTATATTATCATAGATATACATATACCTGGTTTGAGGATAAATTGTTATCATTACGCGATTTAATAAAAATTTAAAACTCAAACGCTCAAAACATTTATTCTATAATGACGCGTCAAATTTTCTCTATAGCTATTTGAAGAAAAACTTATGGAAAACTTAGTGTTGAAGTTTTTAACCTTAGATATAAATACAAACAACTTTATGAATTTTGAACTACAAAATAACTTGCAAATATTCATGGTTTTGACGAATTTTTGTCAATATTTGAACTTCAAATGCTAATAAAAAAAATTTGTGCCTATATATTCTTATAATTTTTTAATCACTATAAGAATAACTTATAAGAAACTTTGTATTAAATATTCAAGTATTTTTATTGGGCCAAAAAAATTTATCGACACTTCACAAAAATTTTTTCAGAAAAATTGAAAATTTCAGTTGTCTATAATATCTCAAAAAAAGTCAAAATATTTTGAAAATTAAATCATATAAGATATAAAGAAAATGTCAATCTAAATAACCGGTATAATTTTCAAGTCAAACATTTTTGAAAATTAAACTGTATATAGATAACACTAACATAAACATTTGGTGAAAATTTCAAGTATTTACAGTGATTTGTTGTTGAATTACAACCTTATAAAAAAATTGATTTGGTCGAAAACTGGTTTTGCGTAAAAATTCCCATTTTTCTGTCACTTTTTTTTGTGTTTCTCGATTTTATTGAAAATTGTTGGAGAATGTTTACTTTTGACCTCTACAATGCACCAAGTATATTCTCTTTTCTATCGAAAACCACCCTCAAAGTTTGAAGTTGAAGCATTATTTCGACTAGTACGTAAGCATAAGATTTAGACCACATCCATCAATGTATTATTTATATATTTTGATTTTATCGAATTCATTGGTTGGGGTAAATTATTCACAACTAATTGTATGTTGACACGAATATCGAGTTTATAATGAATTAATATCTTCAAGAAATTAGTTTAAATATTGAATGATGAAATACAAATATGTTCTGGTGTCATTAAAATTGTTCAACGTTTGATAAATTTTTGCAGTAGGTTTGCCACCCCCATTATACGATAGTTTTATTTTATTAAAATGTATTTACATATAACCACCCTTAGCAGAACGAAAAAATAAAATCATACAATATTTTTATATTGAATTTTTAGGGCTGACGAAAATTAAATGTGAGACATTTGATTGTCAAATACTCCACTCCACAGCCTTTCTTTTTCGACGACCTGTTAATTTTCATTCAATCTCAAGCTTATATCTTATTTAAAAACGTGACGTATCCCCCAAAAATTATTTAAAAAGTGAGAGTGGTAAGGAGCTAACATTTCGACCACATCTACCAGAAACAAGCCAATTCAACAAAAGTCACGTTCGGCTGAAGTCTGTACGTAAGTCTACCTCGCAAAACTTCAATTAAATTTTAAAAAAGTTTTCATTGTTCCGTTTTTTATTTTATTTATTTGCATCTCTATTGTGTATAGAAAGTTCAAAAAGAGAGTAAAAGAAATAATTTTTATTTAATTTTGTTTTATTCGACGAAAAAATATTAATAATATTAGAAAAATATTAGTTACCTAGTATAATATATATTTTTATACTATTTTATACTATTTTCATTGATTGCATTACGTTTAACTTATTCTTTAAGCAATCAATGAACTCCTTACAACCTGAACTTCAATTAAATATTAACATTATCAACTACTTCTTAAAGATAATTAAAGTATATAACCTAATTCTAGCATACTGTAAACTATATGTAATTTGAATGTTCACTAATGGCCAAGTAGCCAATAAAATTATGATCAGTGAAAAAAAAAAGTGAACTCTAAAAAATTCAAACAATATATTATAGTGACTGTACTTTATTTATTATAGCTGAACTACAATATTTATATTATATGTGTTGTAATATACAATTTTAATTGAGTGTTTAATTGTTTTGAGATGTTTTTAAATAAATTGATATGTACCCTAAAAAATGTTGTCCTCTATACTTGTAATTGAGTAATGTATAATTTTATTTCAAGATAATTCAAAAAAGAAAAAAATTACTATGCATTAATCTGTATTGTCAAATGTCGCACGTGAGTTATAAAGAAAATCTCCTAATACATACCTTATATTATATTATGCATACTATGCATAATATTTGATTTCCTTCATTGTAAAATTGTTTAATACAACAACTGTATCCGATCAATTACATTGATCACATTCTGTTCAAACTTTTTAAATTATGAGTATTATAATATGACTAGGTGTAAAATATTAAATGTATATTATTTATTGTAAATATCGTATTCATTAGCATAAATTTGCGTTATTTTTGACGAAAAAGCATCTCCGTCCTATATATCTTCGTAGTCTGTGACGTATGTTTGGAGCTTCTTTAAGAAACGAAAGTGATTAGAATAGGTAGTATATTCCGAAAACATCTAATAGAAGAAAAAAATGATTTCAGATCGACAATCACTATCAGCTTAAACTTTTTAAATGATGATTTAAATGAATATAAAATATTATATTTTTATTGTAAACATCGTATCCATTAGCGTAATGTATTATTATTACGATGAAAAAGCAAACCCGTATAACAGAGCTTTGTAGTCTGTTCAATTATTATTATTTATTTTTTAATATGTAGGTATGTCGCGCTTTAATGATATCCATCGTTAAACGTACAGTCATAAAAAAATTGATTGCGTTTTTTTTCAACCGTCCAATTTTCAATATATATATATATTTATGTAATCATGTACGGTACATACTTCGGCACAATATTATTGTGCATATATTCCCTATATACAGGATGATTCACCAAGCATGCTCAACCCTATTTATCCAGTTATGTTGATTCGAATTCTCGTTTTTAAATATTTTAAATATCATAAACGCGTTTTCGGATAATATTTTTAACTATTTATATTTTATCAAACCATTCAAGTAGTGTATTGTGGAAATACAAAAATATATTATTTTTTTAGTAAAAACCAACTTTTTTCTTCCATGTTATGGCAGCTATTTTTTTTTTTTAATATCGATGATCTAAATTTAAATTCAAATGAGTTATTTCTGTGGTATTCGTATTAAAATGAATACCTAAAGGATAATTGCTCTTAAAAATGGTTTTATGAAAATTTAAAAACTATGTAACTAATATTGAATCAAGTATTTATTTTACTTGCACAATGTTTAGAAATTACAAAATGTTAATACTATACTTAGCTTAATAACCATAGTTTACGTCAGTGTTTTGATATATTATTATAATTAAATAACTAATAAAATATTTGTTAAAATTCGACCAGCATTCATCAAAATTTCAAAAAAATCATCTGATTGACGCTTTAGGTACACGATAAAAAAGTGTTTCTCATTCAAAAGTAAAATTATTCCAAGTATTTTAAATATACTTAAAAATTACAAAAATCATTATACAAACAAATACTTACAAAACAACAATTTTTAATAGATATAAGAGGATGAGCTTGCTCTGGTTGACCACCTTGTATAATTGCGCTATGTATTTATCCGATCAATAATATTATATTTTTAGCTACTGGAATATTAAAACGCATAAAGCAAGGTCGAAGCAATAAAACTATATCATAATAACATTCGTTTGTATTTTACAAAAATATAATATTGATTCATAGCTCCTATACTAGTAAATAAAGTAAAAAAATATGCATAATATATTTTAAAACCGCCAACGCGTCGCTGTTAATTAACCAGAATCTACCTGCCCAAAAATGATTGTGATTAACGAAACATCATAGTAATCAAAACGAGTGTATAAAAATTATAAAAATATTTGATTTTGTGAAATAACCTTTTCACTTTTGCTACCCTGAGACGAATTATTATTAGGTTTATATTGATACCCCGCCGGGTGTGCTTAAAATCTTCTAATATTAATATAACGACGCATGCACCTTTTATATGGATATATTATTGTAATAAAATGAACAATATTCGTAAAGATACTTGACGGATAACATGATACCCATCACTTCTAATGACGCGACGAGCTTACTGGATAAAAAAATATAATAATGTTTTATAAAACAATTGCGGAAAGTCTGCGCATTTTACTATATTATTATTTCTTACCTTCGCAACACTTTGATTTCGTTGTCCAGAGAGTCCTCTTTGCCCTTCAATGCTTTTTTGTCGATTATCTTCACGGCATACATTTCGCTAGGACGTTCCTTGCTCACAGCCAATCGGACTTCGGAAAAAGCACCCCTGTAAACACAAAACTCGTGTCAAGTCGCATTACAAACTATTAATAAAAAACATATTCTACGAACAATGCTCCTCCTGTAGCACCTATGAAGTATATATATTAGTCATACCAACCGGTCCAATTAAGAAAAAAAAATAGACGTCCTCCCAACAAC